GCGCACAGCAACCCCTAACTCTTGGGCTTAAGCAATTCTCTTGCCTCAGCCTCCCAAGTAGCTGGGACTACAGGTGCCCACCACAACCCCCACCTATTTTTTTTGTTGCAGTTGTCATCATTGTTTAGCAGGTCCATCTGGGTTCGAACCGGCCTGCCTTGGTGTATGTGGCTGGCGCTCTAACCATTGAACTATGGGTGTTGAGCCAGGGGTTTGTTAACTTTATTTGTTTTTTTCAAGAAACCATTTTTTGTTTCATTAATTTTGTGAATGATTCTTTTGTTTTCAGTTTCATTAATCTCTGATTTAATTTTGGTTATTTTCTTCTGCTGCGTTTGGGATTGGATTGTTGTTCTTTTTCCATTTCCATAAGTTGGTTCATGAATTTGTTGATGTGCTCTCTTTCTGCTTTTCGGATGTAGGAATCTATGCAATAAATTTCTCTCTTAAGACTCCTTTTGCTGTATCCCACAGGTTTTGGTAACTTGTAGCTTCATTGTAGTTATGTTTGAGGAATTTAACAGTTTCCTCCTCTATCTCTTCCTGGACCCAACTATCATTTAGCATATGGTTGCTTAATTTCCATACCTTTGTGTAGGAATGAACGTTTTTATTGGAGTTGAGTTTCACCTTTATTGCCTGTGGTCTGAGAGCATACAGAGGTATAATTTCTATTTTTAAAATGTTGTTGGAATTTGATTTGTATCTAGGATATGATCTGTTTTGGAGTATGTTCTATGGGCTAATGAAAAATGTATATTCTTTAGCTTTGGGATAGTATGTTCTATGTATGTCTATTAAGCCAGTTTGTTTTAGGGTCACATTTAAGGCCTTTTTGTCTTTGTTTAGTTTCTGTTTAGAGGATCTGTCCAGTTCTGTCAGAGGGGTCTTAAAGTCCATAGATACTATGTTTTTATGGGATATTATATTGCTCAGACTAATCAAGGTCTGTTTCATAAATCTAGGAGCATTTAAGTTAGGTTCAGTATTTAAAATTGAAATGTCCTCTTGTTGTATTGTTCTCTTGACCACTATGAAGTGACTGTCTTTGTCTTTTTAAAATTTAGTTGCTTTAAATCCACTGATATCTGAAAATAATATTGCAGCCCTCCTTTCTTCTGATTTCCATTTGCTTGAAATACTGTTTTCCATCCCTTGACTTGGAATCTTGATTTGTTTTTCAGTGTTAGGTATGTTACCTGGAGATAACATGGATGGCTTATACTTTTTTATCCAGTCAGCCTGCCTGTGTCTCTTTAGTGGGGAATTCAAGCCATTAACATTTATTAAGAGAATTGATAAGTGTGGTGGAGTTCTATTCATCTTATTGTATAAAATTCCATTGTATAGTTTTATCTTTTGCACCTTGTGGAATCTAAGTTTTGACCGTTAGCTTCTGGGTGTTTACTTTGCTGCTGATTGACTGTGATGGTCAGTGCTCAGAATCAGTCTAAATATTTCCTGTAGAGCTGGTATTGTTGTGGAGAATTTCCTTAGCATTTGCATATCCACAAAAGATTTGATTTCTCCATCTTGAAGCTTAGTTTATCAGGAAACAGAATCCTGGGCTGAATTTTTTTTTTTTTTTTTTTTTTTTAAGAAGGTTAAAGGTGGATGACCATTCTCTTCTGGCTTGGAAAGTTTCAGTGGAAATGTCTGCTTCACCCTAATGACTCTGCCCCTGTAGGTCAGCTGGCACTTATTCCTGGCTGCTCCAGAATTTTCTCTTTTCTCTTGACTTTGGACAGGCTCATTCCAATGTGTCTTGTAGAAGCTCTGTTTGAGTTGAGATGGCCCATGGTTCAATATCCTTCTAAAAGGAATGTGTTGGAATCTTTAGTGAAACTTGGGAAGTTTTCATTATGATAGTCTCCAGGGCTTCCATTCCTTTGGGATGAACTTCTTCCCCTTCAGGGATCCCTATGATTCCTATGTTTGAAAGCTTTGTGAAGTCTCATAGTTCTCTTAGCAACTGTTCT